CGTTGCGTTTTCACAGTCGCGAATGACATCTTATGTGGATAGTATTTCTGTGAAATGCATAGAATCGGCTGTGCATTCGTGCTTCTACAAGAAAATGAGGTATTTAGACATACACCCTCTTAACTGTACTTACATTTTCGGCCGTAACTCGGGCAACTGTTACAGCATCAGCGTCAGTCTCGCGGGGAAGCTTGACAAGGATCCAGTCTATGTGATCAGATATTCAGCTCGACTTCATCCATCCGCTTTTCTTATGCATCATGAACATCATGAGGCCCTGCGACAACTTTTTCAAGTCTTCCTTCTTCGGACTTCTGCACCGGATCTCTTACGTTCCATTCAGAGAACACCACTATGCACAGGTACGGCCCAGGATGAATTCGAGCAGTGCACTTTCCTCTCAGGACGATAGATTCCATAATCCGGCGCTGACTTTGACCACTCGGGTTTCTTTTCAATTTCTCGAGCCTTTCTTCAGTGGCCAGGTTAGTCGAATTTCAGGTATACGTAGCTAAAGGCACTAGCTTTCAAGACATATTAGCCCAAAGCCCCATCGCCTTTGCTTTCCTTTGTGACAGCTTTGACTCAAACATTTGGCAATTCGACGACTCAGCTCCATAGCATCAACTCTTCTCAGTATTCTCTTAAATTCGGTCTATAAGCGCCTCGCGCACTTTGAGCTCTAGGGTCTATTTAGTTGCATACCCAATCATGCATTAGTTTGTTCTGTGATGGCGCAACCGACGTAGGACCAACTCCAGATACGAAGAACAATCCTAGTGTCAAATAATCGATCTATTTTATATACTTTTCCTCTAATACAACCCCGCCGCCTTTACACCTATTACAGCTGAGCGCGTGGAGCAGGAAATGAGACGTGAGTACGCTGTGCTAACACTCACGTTCCAGTTAGAAAAAAGAAAAGCAAATTACCAGAGAGAATACTCCGAATTCAGATGGTTCTATCGCTCCTAAGACGAACCATCACTATTTTGTCAACCACGAGGCACATCAGTGAGGCAGAATTGACGAAATAATGACGGAAAGGGAAGCAGTTGATGGGAAAGGAATAAAATAGCTTTTCATGCGATACTCCTGCAGGAAGTAGAGCATTAGAGGAGTGGAACTGAAAGTTCAGCGAAGGATATCACGTGTAGTGTGTCAGCAAACACGAGAACGCTCGACTACGTCGGTCCTGATCCTTGCCATTTGTGGATTCATTGGTCCGCAGCAACAGTAACATCTCACTGTCTGTTGTTAAAAGCACATGGGAAACGAGTTGAAGGATAGTGATGCCGGGGTGCCGTCTCCATATTCCGCCTGCGCTGCCGCACAGCCAGCCACATTCCTAACCATTGCCAAACGCGCTACTTGTGTGCGCCTTCCCATGCTGGTTGTTCCGTACCACTGACTGCATGTTCCCTACAGAATGTCGGAGTCGATGCAAGTGCTGAGGATAGCGCAGGCGGAATATGGAAACGACCCGGGTAGCGCTACCCTTGTAGTCCCTACCAGTGCACATTTAAGAGAAGAAAGTGGAACGCTGCTGCAGCTGCGGATTCAATCACCTCACACATGTCAATAGCCAGGATCCACGGAGGTGAGCGCACAGTTAGTCTAGAAGGTTTGCCACGTAATCAGTTCCTCCCAGTTCGGTAGAAGTTAGGCATGGTTGTCGAAACATGTTTCAGATTTTGTAAAGAGAAGAACGAGTACGATTCTGTTCGAGCGCTCGCATCGTTTCGAAATCTGAGTACAGGAATGGATCTCGACTGGCTCAACATCATGGTCGTTCGAGAACCACTCGAGCGGTTCATTTCCGGATTTGTTAACAAGTGCATCCTGTGAGCAACCAACTACTTTAGTCATGATATTAGATATTACATATATATCAGATATTTGTTATCGGCAACGTAGGAAGAAGCATCTATGAAATCGCTCGAGGTGTGACACATATTGTACTTCCAGTTCTGATTTTTCGCGACGAAAGTGACCCTGGTGACGTGACTCTGATCCCCACACCCCTCCCCCACACCAAGTTACGTTGAAGAAAGTTGTTCTGGGTTATGTTACATCCCTACCGAAGAAGGGTGAAGCCTCAATGGTAAACTGTAGAGCACATAAACGTTCTAATCTCGAAAGGCAGAGCAGCTGCAGCAAGCAAAATCACACGATGCTCCCTCAAAACTCTAATCATTGGTTGGGTCTTTCCCCATGACGAAAGGCATGACACTGGGTAGCGCTAAACAGTCGACAATCCTGATTTTAGCTGGTTACTTCGAGTTGTTATTGCAGGTTATTTGTAGGACGGCTGTCCAAACTCATCCGTGAAAGTGTTATAGAGATAGAAATCGTACCAATCCGTGCTACAACTGTGGGGACGATATCGCATGCCTGATGAGGCGACAGTATCAGCGACTGATGGGTGACGCTCAAACGCCGTCACTCCTTCACACAGTCGAGGATGCCCACTTTGCACCTCAGTCATGGTGAAACAACTCTTTGTGAGCTTCATTATTCAATTTCTGTTTAACTGTTGCAGGCACTGCGAACTGCGTGACAACGTGCAAAAGTATAAAATTGTACAGTACAATGCCAAAAATATCAAGGGAATGATAAATGAACTTGACAGCCAGTTCAGCAAGAGCGGAGTTCCACAGGATATTCTCGGCGATATTCTATCCCAGGTGAGCAAGACAAAATGGCGTTCGTAATGCTCTGCTTCTGTGCACCTGGTTGCCATGTATGCACTCAAAATCCCTGGGATGCAGTAGACGAGTCCGTACTTCATTTGAACATCGTGTAGCCTGCTGCACCCCGGTGGGATATTTCATTTTGGAGTAATTGTAATAATGTTGTTGCCCAAAGCAGGAGAAGATAACACTTGTGTCAAACTGAGCACCCCACCAATAGCTAGTCCTACGCCTTTTTCCGCCATATATAATTTGCTGAGTCTGTTTGTTTGTTCATTTGTTTGTCTGTTCGGAAATTCAGGTTCGATCCTGAAGAACAACTTGGAGAGGTCGGGTCAAGGTTGGGATGGGTAGAGCGTGGGATATAAAGTGAAAACCACATTTGACCACTGCTTCCTCCCCCACAGTTAAAGGGGCATGTGCCAAAAGAGCGGTGTTCCCACAATATTCAGTAACTTGGGCTCCAAGAGAGTTCAGAGATCGAAAAAGAGTCTACATGGAGGAGGAACATCTGCGAGGTGACACAAATTGGCCTTTGAGTTTTGGTGGGCGAAACAACTGGGCTGCCATGAAAAATGTCACTTATGAGAACTGCAGCGCTTTTGCACTTACTGTGAAGCCGCGCAAGTAGGGTAACCATTGGGACGGAGGGCCAGCCAACAAGTACAAATTCTTCTTATTATTCTTTTTTGTTGTGTTGTTGTTGTTGTTGTTGTTGTTGTTGTTGTTGTTGTTGTTGTTGTTGTTGTTGTTGTTGTTGTTGTTGTTGTTGTTGTTGTTGTTGTTGTTGTTGTTGTTGTTGTTGTTGTTGTTGTTGTTGTTGTTGTTGTTGTTGTTGTTGTTGTTGTTGTTGTTGTTGTTGTTGTTGTTGTTGTTGTTGTTGTTGTTGTTGTTGTTGTTGTTGTTGTTGTTGTTGTTGTTGTTGTTGTTGTTGTTGTTGTTGTTGTTGTTGTTGTTGTTGTTGTTGTTGTTGTTGTTGTTGTTGTTGTTGTTGTTGTTGTTGTTGTTGTTGTTGTTGTTGTTGTTGTTGTTGTTGTTGTTGTTGTTGTTGTTGTTCTTCTTCTTCTTCTTCTTCTTCTTCTTCTTCTTCTTCTTCTTCTTCTTCTTCTTCTTCTTCTTCTTCTTCTTCTTCTTCTTCTTCTTCTTCTTCTTCTTCTTCTTCCTTCTTCTTCTTCCTACCTAGTTTCCGGAGAGGGAGGGCAAGTATCATGCATAACTGCTAACGCTGTTTGGCAGAGAGTGGTAGTAGACTAGGTGGACCATTATAACTTATGGAGTACGCGTCACATTAGTACTTGTGAGCCTACGCTGAAAGAAGTTCCCAGACGTGGAGAGAGGACGATAGATTGGGCTCGTCGTTGCAGACGACGATAGAATAGTTTTTCAAGCTTACTTGAACTGAAAAACCAGTTCCCATGTGCAGTTTTCTGAAGTCTAGCAAAGTTATTAAAAACCAACTGCAACTTGCGCAACTTTAGCTCGTTACGAGTTTCTTTTCCGTTACCATAGCTAGGTATACTCTCTTGAGTGCAATCCAGCTTCCGGGTGTATCAAAGGGATATATGTCATTTGCGATATGCCGCAGTAGGCATGGCGAGCCAGACGCGTGAGACGGGTTGTTCTGTTCGGCCGTTCACATTCGAATGTTGAAGGGACGGAGGAAATCGATAGTACTCGGAATGGAGTCCTTGCTCTGGTAGAATGCACATAACCTTCGCTGCTCCATTCGAGAAACAGATGCATATTAAGAATCTGCCTCGCACGACGCACAATGCGTCGCTCGCGAACACTCAACAAATAGCGACTGTTTTGACTCTCTCCCCATCTGAGGTATGCGCTTCGGATGCGCTGAACTGCATCCGAAAACAAACGACTGTTTATCAGACGCTACACTTTTTTGAAAGGTTTCAAAAACAACGTCGCTATTACCACGGCTCTGAAAGAATGATTAACATAATTTGTTAACATTTGACGAGTAAAAAGGGCAAGCGCCGGCTCCTTATTTTACTAGTTAAGGTATTACAAAAACGGACGTTCCACCAGACCTACAACTCTGCACCGCAGATTTTTTACGAGAAAAAAGTCCGGTCGTCACCGCATCTCATGAAATTACTCGTCAAAATGTTTTACTACGATTACTTATTATTTGGTTACCCTTTACCGAAGGTTAGGTGATTAATCACTGCTCTCTTTAACTGCTATTGTAAGGATTTCATAATAATGAATAAATAACACTAAACACATTGCGTCCCGTTTACAATTCTTTTTAACTTTATCAATTTTTCTGACTACTGTGGTATTCCTTTCGGCCTATCTCTTTTATCACGTAACAGTAGCCAATTTCATTTAACACATGCCTGCACATAAAGGTAATGTATAATACGACGCATTTACAATATTTTCATATCATATGTATATCAGCGCCCCACAAATCGCGTCGATAAAAAGGCGTGGGCCACAGGTACCGGTTAGCGGAAAAATGCTTCGGTACGCAACTGGTTTACTAGCAGTCTTTACTGACCAGAAGAGGATGGTTGGTCGAAGTGACCATTCGAATGAATTCTATACCGACTGACGCTCTATGGTCGCTCATTTCAAATCTGCTGGACGATTCTCCGAACAGACGAACACACTAAGCCAATCTATATTCTGAAGATAAGTCTTTAATGTGGTGTAACCTACCCTGCTAAAATTTGGGAGAAATAAAGGTGAAGCTAGCCTGATGTGAGTACTATAGTCGTTTTTTAGATCTCTGAAGGAGATTACTCCATGCTTAGAGGAAGACAGCGACGATAGTACATTCACATTATTAATAATCGGCGATGAACACAGAATGATTTCAAGGATGTTGGTGACATAAGGTGGTTTCGACACGTATTGCGTGAAATGCAGGTATCAAAAAAATTCAAGAAAGAGCGCGGAGGTGTGATTCAAGGTTCAATATAGTCCCACTCAATCTGAAGACTGAAATCACCGAGAGTGATAGATATTATGGACTGAGCTTAGATACAACAGATGATCGATCAATGTGTAGCTCAGGTGCCAAGTAGTTCGAAGGCGAAAGACAGATTTAATCCTTAGAGGGAAACGGCATTATTCATAAGAATATTGCAGCAGAGTACGTCTGGGGCAATCGCGTGTTCGAATCACTTTCATAAAAGTCCTTCTGTGACCACACGCCTTGTCCAAGCGGGAATGGAATCGAAAACACAGTAGACGAAGGCGTTTATTGAACTATAAACGCTCACCAAAACTGAATAGACATCACAGAAACACAACGGTGTTCATGCCGCAATTGTAACGTTACAATGAGCGGCAGCAATGGAGGAATATCTCTATTACACATAGGCGATGACAAAGCTTCATTCATTTTGATACATCCTAAGGCCTACAAACACCTCCCATTTTATGAGGCTTATATTGTTTTATAAACTGGTGTAACCCGCAGTGCGTGTCATGAACCTTGGTCATATGACTAATAGGAGTTTTACCACGGCAAGTCGCAAATGCACATTTTCTGCATAGTCGCTCATCGCCGCGTAAACCAACCAATTAGAGAGCCTTGGTATCGCTACACCTTGAGCCCTGATTATTTTATACCACCCACAATCAGGGAAGGTGGCGCACTGAGGCCCTACAGGGGCGAGGCACTCTCGCTCGTTCTCTTCGCAGTTCTTCACGGTTTCTTCTCTCAGTTTCACTGCTTTCACATCACGAGCACATAGGGACAAGAACGAACACGATGTGCCAACACAGGAGACGAGACACAAGACACTGCGGACCCGCTATCGCCTGAAGAAGAACACAAGACAACACAACTTGACTTGCACTTTGACACGAATATGCCAGTAGTTTAGCCTCATATGTTTATGCTTGTAGTTTTAATGATTGTAGTCATGCTGTATGTGCTATGTCTTACTAATAAACGTGTAAACTACCACTTGAATCACTAAAACCTTATTTGAACCGTGATGCATTTAAAACATGGTGCATCGGCCACATCAAGAACTCACATGTTTCGAAAGGCAACGCAGAAGACATTGTTTTCCCATTATGATAAATAACCTCTCTAATATTCCCTTTCAAAGACAGTAGAAAGATTTTCACATGCGACAGAATCCCTCCCTGTTCGTATAACGCCTCAGAACACACATTTCACTACTCTTCATTCGTGCTTCAGTCACTGATCTCAGTCTGACGCCGACACGCTCATCACCAACCTGATATCAGTCCAACGTCGACGCACTCAACCGTTGAATTGAAGCACGACCGCCAACAAAAAAGCATTAATCAATTTGAGCAATTTGCCTACTTCAATTTCTTTCTTTTTGCTTGAACATCCGTTCAAAAGGCCAAAGCATTTACCCAAAGGGTAACTCCCTATCTAACAATAAATAACACACAACCATAAGAAGGGAGAAAAATAGCTACACTTTCTGTTTTGCCATAGCACATACGACATCAGCGCGACTACGTATACACGTTCGCCTATGCACACAACGGAAAAAAAAATGGAGACTTGTATGTCTGCCACAAAAATGGAGACTTTTAGGTCTGCCGTCATAAAATGGAGACTTGTATGTCTGCCTCAAAAAATGGAGACTTTTAGGTTTGCCGTCATGAAATGGAGACTTTGTAGTCTGCCTTCAAAATATTGGCGCCACGACCGAGATTACACAGTAGAAGCTGGCTAGCTACACGAATGACACGCTTACGAGTAATCCGGATCATACCTTACACGAAGCTTCCCCTGTCCGGTGAACGCCGGTTGAGCGCTCCCAAAACGCGACCATGGTTGCGCTGGCGCATCGGTAACCTCTTATTTGTGATCTGGCTGCTGTTTATTGCTGAGCACTGTTCTTAAAAAAAACTAACTAGAACTGTTATATCCCAACCATATGACCAAGAGCGGTGTACACCTATGGGCGATAAAAAACACCTTCGCAGATATCCAAAACGCAGAAAGCCTTCATGGTTGTGGGAGATAACTATTCACCATGGTGTGTCGCGGTGGGTCCAGA